CGGGTCGGTCCCCCCAGGGAAGGGGGGGGGGGGGGGGGGCACAGGCTAGGGGAAACCTACAAACAGGCAGAGAAGGAGTGGGGTCCCAGGAAATAGCTGGAGGGGAAGAGGATGTCCCCGCTGAGCCGGGACGTCTGGGCACACCTCTGGAGCAACCTGGGCAGAGATAATCTGACTGCTGAGGTCAGGGTTCCTGCTCAGGCCCTGGGTGGGCTGTCAGGTACTCACTGGGAAAGCACAGAATTAAATACATGCCCCTTTCCACCCACCCGCCCGCCCGGGGTCCCCAGCTCCCTGCTAGGTGGCAGACAGTCTAGCCCGTTAGGAACTTGAGCCTAACCTAGGCTAAGTCGAGAACGTGGCCCTCCTGTCCCCGAGGACAGGCCGAGCCGCACACCCACTCAACAGTCTTAGAGGCCAGAGACTGACCCAGGGTCTCCAACAGCCCCTTCGGCATTGCCACCAGGCCCCAACTTCCCTTCCCTCTCCCTTCCAAGTGGCCACTCCAGAACCCCTCTGGTTTGGAGGTTCTCCAAAGGCCTCCCAAAGTGCCGAGAGGGCCTGGTCAGGGAGCTGGGGAAGAGAGCCGAGGTGTGGGCTGTGCCCACAGGACCCTCGGGCATCTCCTTGTGCTCTGCTTAAGGTTCAGCCCCTGGGGCCAAGACCCCTCGGTCTGTCTGCCGCTCCGCCGGGGGCCTGAGGGGCTAACTCGGGCCTGGGCCGCAGGTCTACGTGGAGCTGCAGGAACTCGTGATGGACGAGAAGAACCAGGAGCTGCGATGGATGGAGGCAGCTCGCTGGGTGCGCCTGGAAGAGAACCTGGGGGAGGACGGGACCTGGGGCCGCCCACACCTGTCCTACCTCACCTTCTGGAGCCTTCTAGAGCTGCAGAGGGTCTTCTCCAAGGGTGAGCTGGCTGGACCCTCTGTGACTCCTACACGTGAGGCTTGTTGGGAGGGAGCGTGATTCGGGACCTGGCTCAACCTCCACTGCCTGCAGGCACCGTCCTCTTGGACCTGCAGGAGACCTCTCTGGCCGGGGTGGCCAACCAGTTGCTGGACAGGCTTATCTACGAGGAGCAGATCCGGCCCCAGGACCGAGAGGAGCTGCTGCGGGCTCTGCTGCTCAGACACAGGTGCTCCTGCCTGCCAGGGCCTGGACTCACACCCCGTGGGCGCACCTCCTGCCCAGCTGCTCCAGAAAGCCCCTCTCCCATCACTCTTCTTACCTCTGACCCCGCGAAAGGAGCGGTCCCGGGCTCAGAGTAGGGGCTGCAGGGCAGGAGGGCGGACCCTCAGGGCCTTTCCCCCATCCCTTCTTTTCATCCCACCTAGTCATCTAGACAGAGGGCGCTCACTTACATTCAGGATGTCCTTTGAGGGGCGGCTTTGATTCCCCTTCCACCAGGGGTCTCTGGTCTAGTTGGAAGCCCTGTTTGATGTCTACCCTCGGTCCCTCCCCACTCTCCGCTCAGACAGCTCACCTAGTTCTCATCTCTGTATGTCCTGCAGCCACGCTGGAGAGCTGGAGGCCCTGGGGGGTGTGAAGCCTGCAGTCCTGACACGCTCTGGGGACCCCTCGCAGCCTCTGCTCCCCCAACACCCCTCACTGGAGAGGCAGCTCTTCTGTGAGCAGGTGAGGCTGCCGCAGGGCCATGTAGAAAGAACTCCAAAGCCCTGACCTGTACACGGTTAGAAGGGAGAATGGGTTCGGCAAGGAGAGAGGGGTCAGGGTTGGCTGCTTGGTCTCTGGGTTCAGAGTGGCCTGAGGACTCCCCTCACCACCTTCCATCCCTCAGGGAGAGGAAGGGCGCTCACCGTCTGGAATTCTGGAAAAGATTCCCCCGGATTCAGAGGCTACCCTGGTGCTAGTGGGTAAGAGCCTCTCTCCCTCACCTCTCCATGCTCCCCGCTTCTGCCTCCTGTCCTGTCCCACCTGCCTCCCCCTGCGAACCCTCACCCTGCCCCTCAGCCTGGCCTCACCCTGTGGTCTGCCCCTCGCAGGCCGCGCTGCCTTCCTGGAGCACCCGGTGCTGGGCTTCGTGCGGCTGCAGGAGGCCGCGGAGCTGGAGGCCGTGGAGCTGCCCGTGCCCGTGCGCTTCCTCTTCGTGTTGCTGGGGCCCGAGGCCCCGCACACCGACTACACGCAGCTCGGTCGGGCGGCCGCCACCCTCATGTCAGAGAGGGTGAGGAGGGACTGGTGTGGGTGCTGGAGCCAGGGAGCTGGTGGAGGCTGAGGCCCATTCCCCGGCCTGGGTTACTTTGGGGTTGGTAGTTGGACCCATTCAGGTTAGTTCGGCTGCTTCTATCCCCTCTGGCCTAGCTCCGGCTGATCCGGCAGGTTCCATCTGGTTTGCTCAGGCTGGGCTGGCCTAGCCTGGCCTCTCTAACCTGGTTCTGACCAGAGAGGTCTGGCCTGGCCTGGTTGGGTCTGCCTAACCCACCTTGCTGGCTCCAGTTCCCCCTTTCCTCACTCAACGCCCAGTATTAACGAGGAATAGGGGTGGGAGGCCATGGGAGTTGGATGAGTTCAGGTTCCTGGAGGCCCTGGCCGTGCAGGGCAGCCCTGAACCCCTCTCCTGCCCTCAGGTGTTCCGCACAGATGCCTACCTGGCCCAGAGCCAGGGGGAGCTGGTGCGCTCCCTGGAGGGCTTTCTGGACTGCAGCCTGGTGCTGCCTCCCACGGACGTCCCCTCTGAGCAGGCCCTGCTCAGTCTGGTGCCCGTGCAGAGAGAGCTGCTTCGGAGGCGCTACCTGACCAGTGCTGCCAAGCCGGACCCCAGCTTCTACAAGGGCCTAGGTACCTGCCCTGCCCAGGCCAAGGTTTTGTGAGCCCCCTCTGACCCTGGGACACCCCAGCGCAGCCTGCCCTCTTCCCTACCTTGGACGCGTCCCAGCCTCCGGGCCACCACATTCCCACCAGACAATGCTGCTCTCACCCCCTCGGTTCTCCTCACCCCTGCCACTCCCCATGACCTTGGTCCTTTCCTCTGCCACAGACTTGAATGGGGGCCTACGGGAACCCGGTGGCCCAGATGACCCTCTGAAGCGGACAGGCCGGCTCTTTGGGGGCCTGGTGCGTGACATCCGGCGCCGCTACCCGCACTACCTGAGCGACATCACAGACGCTCTCAGCCCCCAGGTCCTGGCTGCTGTCATCTTCATCTACTTTGCTGCCCTGTCACCTGCCATCACCTTCGGTGGCCTCCTGGGTCAGTGTCGATTCCCGTCCCCCTAACTCCCACCTCTCACTCTCTGGCCTCTGCCTCAGCCCTGACACCTGACCCAACCCTGATACCAGACCCTTTCATCAGCCTGCTCTGACTTGCCCTGAGCCCCTGAAGATGACCTCCTGACCTTGAGCTCACTGTGACCTCTCCCCACAGGAGAAAAGACCCGGAACCAGATGGGGGTGTCGGAGCTGCTCATCTCCACCGCGGTGCAGGGCATTCTCTTCTCCCTACTGAGCGCTCAGCCCCTGCTCGTGGTCGGCTTCTCGGGGCCCCTGCTGGTGTTTGAGGAAGCCTTCTTCTCGGTAGCTCCGTCCTGGCCACTTCTGACCCCGACCTGTAGCCGACCCCGAGGCTCGGTGCCTGAGCCCCGTCCGTCTGACCTGTCTGTCGGCTGCCCCACAGTTCTGCGAGAGCAACGGCCTGGAGTACATCGTGGGCCGTGCGTGGATCGGCTTCTGGCTCATCCTGCTGGTGGTGCTGGTGGTGGCCTTCGAGGGCAGCTTCCTCGTCCGCTTCATCTCCCGCTACACTCAGGAGATCTTCTCCTTCCTCATCTCCCTCATCTTCATCTACGAGACCTTCTCCAAGCTGATCAAGGTCGGGACAACAGGAGTGCGTGTGCAAGATCGTGTGTGACTGTGCGTCAGTGCGCATGTGTCAGGGTGGCATTGTGTGGCCATGTCTCCACCTGTGCACATAACCCCGTGACTGTGCGTGGGCACATGACTGCGTAGGACTGGGCCGTGTGTGTCAGTGTATGTTCACATCCGCACACAGAGCAGTGTAGCTGTGTTGGCTGTGACCACATACGTGTTGACATCTGCTCCTTTATGGCCCAGTGTTCTTGCCATGACTATGCAGTGACTGTGTGTGAGAGAGGGCACCCCTGTGTGCCCGTACCCATGGTTACGATCACAGACGATGTGACTTACCGGCCAGCAAGTGTGTGAGACTGAGTGTGGAAACAGCACTGCCAGGGAGTGGAGGCTCTGGAGCTCCGAAGTCCCTGCTAACTTGGGCGCTTGCCCACAGGACTTGCGACCTGCTCTCGGGCCCGTCGTCTTCGGCTATGCCTGCCCTGAATCTGTTTTCCCTGTGGCGGGAGGGGGATACTACGCCTTCCCCTGATTCTGTTTTCCGATGGCTCTTTCTGTTTCCAGGGCTGTTAAGCCCTTTTTAGAAACCCCCTTGGCATTTGTTTCCTGCCCTCCGGCCTTCTCATGTTCCCCCGGGTCTTGGGTGCACACGCCTACGTTCGTTGCCTCCAGGCCCCGCCCCACCCAAGCCTCTCCTAGTCTCAGTTTTTGCAAACCAAGCCGCAGAAGTCCACTGCCCCTCTGGCCATGTCAGTCAAGGAAGAAGATGGATAGATGGATGAATGAATGGACGACGGGCGGATGGGAGGACGGGGGATAGACGGACGGTGATGGATGGAGGGGAGTGCTGGGGAGATCTAGTTCCTGGGAGGGAACAGGCTGCCTCGGTTTTCTGTTGCAGATCTTCCAGGATCACCCACTGCAGAAGGATTATGACCACAATGTGGTGATAGTGCCTAAACCTCAGGCCCCCCTGCCCAATACAGCCCTCCTCTCCCTGGTGCTCATGGCCGGCACCTTCTTCTTCGCCATGATGCTGCGCAAGTTCAAAAACAGCTCCTACTTCCCTGGCAAGGTCAGCACACCCTCCTCTCTGTCCTTGTCGCCACTGCCCTATCCTAATCCATCCCCCCAACTTCCCCAGTGCCCAGAGCCCCCCTTCCTATCCTCGATTCCCTGTCCCAGTCCTCCTGGCTCTGTCCTTACCCGGGTTCCTCTCTGAGGCCCAGCTGCAAGCCCAGCTCCCTTTCACAGCACGGCCAGGCTGAGAACCCAGCAGGGTACCAGACAGCTCTTGGGAGGGGGTGAAGAAGCTGTGGGGCCAGGGGTGGGGCTGAGCCAGGGGGAGAAGAAGGAGGCAGTTACAGGCAAAGTGAAGATCAGGGCACTAGATGCTGAGGGATGTGGGCAGGAGCCAGGGCAGGTGTGGGGAGCAACTGGGCCTTGACTGCTGCTCTCTCTGCCCCCAGCTACGTCGGGTCATTGGGGACTTCGGGGTCCCCATCTCCATCCTGATCATGGTCCTGGTGGATTCCTTCATCCAGGACACCTACACACAGGTGAGGCCTGTTCCCAGACATCAAGCCCCATGACACTCCCACCTGGGTCTTCATGTCCTCTCCCCAGCCACACCTCCTGACAGCTTTCCTGAACCTAAAGCCAGCTAGAACTGCCTCTACCCATGTCTGCCTCCCCTGGGGGAGGGGTTCCTGTTCTCCCCACACTCTCATGGGACCCCTTCGGCCAAAGCTAGGGGCTGGGTTGGGTCACCCCTTTACTTCTTCACCCAGGACAGCAAGAAAGAGTCCGCTTGGAGCCAGGCAGATCTGGGTATAAATCTCAGCTCTCCACCAAACAGCTGTGTGATGTGGGGCAACTGTATAGCCTCTCTGGTCCCGTGTCTTTGTCTGTAAAGTGGGAAACGAGAAAATGTGTGTAGAGGGCTCAGTGCAGTGGTCGGGGACAGAGCGGGTGCTCGATATTTATAAGTCCCTGAGTGCCCCCAGCCCAAGGCCCTGGCCTGTAGGCCCCTGGTTCCCTCTGCCTCCACTCTCCCCATGCCCTGTCCCTGGTGTCCTCACTAGCTGCCCCCTCCCACAGAAACTCTCGGTGCCCAGTGGCCTCACAGTGTCCAACTCCTCAGCCCGGGGCTGGGTCATCCACCCGCTGGGCTTGTTCACCAATTTCCCTCTGTGGATGATGTTCGCCTCCGCTCTGCCTGCTCTGCTGGTCTTCATCCTCATCTTCCTCGAGTCCCAGATCACCACGTAAGAGCTGGGGGCGCTGGGCCCAGAGGTAGGGAAGGGAGTGGGTCCCGGCAGGAAGAGACCAGGGACTGACTAACAGGAGTGGTGGATGCTCGGGGCAGGTCTGGGTTTTGTGGGGCCTGACGCATCATTTGGAGAGCCCTATTAAAGAAAAAGAATGAGAACAGGACTATGGAAGTAGGTGATGGGTCTTGGAAGGGCTTGTACAGGCAGCACACCCGGAAGCTGAAGCTTTTTGGCTTCAGCGAATCTGCGGTGGCGGTTCTAAAGACATTTCTGCTCCTGGAGTGGATTCTCCAGAAGGGCCAGGAGGGAGTGAGGAATGCAGGAGATGGGCACAGAAGGCAAAACTGAGGTCCAGAGAGACCCACGTCTGGGGGAGATGGAAGAGGTGCAGACAGCAGGAAGGGGGGCCACTGCTTACCCTAACCTTCCCCCCTCCCCCACCCCAGGCTGATTGTCAGCAAACCCGAGCGCAAGATGGTCAAGGGCTCTGGCTTCCACCTGGACCTGCTGCTGGTCGTAGGCATGGGCGGGGTGGCTGCTCTCTTTGGGATGCCCTGGCTGAGCGCCACCACTGTGCGCTCTGTCACCCACGCCAACGCCCTCACCGTCATGGGCAAGGCCAGCACTCCAGGGGCTGCAGCGCAGATCCAGGAGGTCAAGGAGCAGCGGATCAGTGGGCTCCTGGTCTCTGTGCTTGTGGGTGAGTGAGGGCTGCCCCAGCCCTGGCCCCCCGCCCTTGTGGCTCCTGCAGTCAGATCCCTGCATAGCCACTGCCCACAGCTCCCAGCATCAGTGACTCACATGAGGGAACCCTGGAGTCAATGCCCAAGGCATTGGGGTGGGCATCTGAGCAGGGGAAGAAGGAAAGACCTCCATTTTGACGTCCTCCAGACCAGGCCCTGCCTTCTGAGCTCAACCAACAGAAGTGCCAGGAACTGTGGGCTCCAGCCCTGCCCCGCTGCTAGCTCAGACCCCTCTGTGTCTCTAAGCCTCAGTTTCCCTCTCTGCACGGTTGGAGGGTTTGTTAGATGCCCCCGAGTTACCTTCAGGCAGCTCTGCTGTCCTATGATTGATGGGAGGGACAATGCTGTGGCACAGTCTGGCTGGGGAGCGAGGGCGAAAAACGGACGGGTCATGGGGCAGACCGACCCTCTGGAGCCGATGAGGGCCCAGCTGGTCAGGTGGGCAGTGTCATGCTCACAAGGAGAGTTCAGGAAAGTTTATTTTTAAATCAATTTTTATTTATTTCTTCCATGAGAGGGAGGCAGAGGGAGATAGGCACCACACCAGGCCCTTCATGCCATGGTCCTACCCCCAGCCTTAGCCGGGCCGGCTCATTCTGCATGCCGTGGGCCTGATGTGCAGAGGAGACCTCGGACACAAACTTAGGACTTTCCCATGTGGCCTCAGCATCGAGGAACTGCCTATGTGGTGGCCCTAGGGAAGTTTCCTTTTTCTTTTCTTTCCTTTTCTTTTCTTTTCTTTTCTTTTCTTTTCTTCTCTTTTCTTCTCTTTTCTTTTCTTTCCTTTTTTTTTTTTTTTTTTAGGTTTGGTTTATAGGGCACATGTGCTCACCAGAGAGAGATAGTGAGAGGGAGAGGGAGAACGTACCCCCAGGGTCACAACCCCTTCTCCTCCTGTCTCCTCCTGGGATTTTGGGCATGCACACACATGCGCCTGGCATGGTTTTCAAGCCACCGGATCTAAGACTTGGACCACAGTTGGCCATGTTGGGGTCCAGCGCCTTAAGCACCACGTCACCTGGCCTGGGAAGTTCCTTAAGAGGAGAAGCTGAGGGACCAGCAGTTAGTGTAATGGCTATGTGGTTGGACTCCCATGTAATTGACTGTGGTTCGCATCCCGGACCCGGTGGCTTAAAACTCACGCCAGGCGCATGTGCGTGTGTGCCCAAGATCCCAAGAGGAGAATGGAGGAGAAGGGATTGTGGCCATACCCCCTGGGAGGTGATTTCTCGATTTCTGTCTCTCTGTCTCTCTCTGTCTGTCTGGCAGGCGCATGCGCCCTATAGCAAAAACCTCTCCAAAAGGAAAAAAAAAAAAAAAAAGAGGAGAAATTGATGTTGCTAGGAGGGGGGTTATGATTTGGTTAGGCAGAGGGTGGTGGAGGTACTCTGGATGGGGGTGAGAAGAAAGTGGGGTTCTCTGAGCTCCATGACCCCCACTAGGTTAAGGGAATGGGCTTAAGCACGGCACGCAGGAGTCTGACTCCCTGCTGGCCTGTGTCCCCCACTGTAAAGTGGGGGTAGTACCTACTGAGAGATCCCATCGAAAAGGCTCCATATGGAACAGTGGTTTTCTGCCCCAGCCCCAGATGCCCGCTCTGCCCCCACGGGCCCCGGACTCTGGGTGGCCTGGCTGAGAGTGTGTGGTCCTCCCCACAGGCCTGTCCATCCTCATGGAGCCCATCCTGTCCCGCATCCCTCTGGCTGTGCTGTTCGGCATCTTCCTCTACATGGGGGTCACGTCCCTCAGCGGCATCCAGCTCTTTGACCGCATCTTGCTTCTGCTCAAGCCGCCCAAGTACCACCCGGATGTACCCTATGTCAAGAGGGTACGGGGCTGCCCGGCTGCGGAGCCCGGGGTGGGTGGGGGTGCTGCGGCAGGGCAGACACTGACCCCAGCCCCGGCCTGCAGGTGAAGACCTGGCGCATGCACTTGTTCACGGGCATCCAGATCATCTGCCTGGCAGTGCTGTGGGTGGTGAAATCCACGCCTGCCTCGCTGGCCCTGCCCTTCGTGCTCATCCTCACGGTGCCCCTGCGGCGCCTCCTGCTGCCGCTCATCTTCAGGAACCTGGAGCTACAGTGTGTGAGTGGCCCCCTGGGCCTGTGGGCAGAAGGAGCTGCAGAGAGG